TTCTGAAAGGTAGTAACTTATCTGCAAGTTAGCTGAGATATAAAATGGAGTTTATAGGGAAGATTCTTGATTATCTTATCAAGTGAAGTTTAAAAATAAAAAGGCAGTAATGGAATTCTAGAACAAGAGGAGTTAGTGGTAAGAACCCTTCTGCATGCTTCTCCCCATAGTTTGCTATTTTCTGTATAGTAACTTCGTTTATCCTAACCTCTTCCTTCATGTGTCAGGAAACATTACTGCAGATGTTTTCTTAATTTAACATCTTTGATTGATACCATTGCTTACAGTTTGAACATGTCTGATTGGCTTACATCAGGTTTTACTGTCATATCTTGGAATAATCAATCAATCTATCAACAGAACTGAGAATGATGGAGTTCTATCAACAATAATTACAACAATTGCAATAATAATAATAATATCCTATCATATTGATTAAAATTTTGTGGCCAATTAATGGGAAATTTAATTCAACTTGGCTTAAATATGAAACAGTGATTTACTGGCTTTCATTCCTGGAAAACCTCAAAGTTGAGTCCATTGTAGTCTGCTCAATCTGCTGTTAAGTTGTGGCATCAAATATTCTAATGCTTCTGTTTTCACACTGTGCTGCTCCAGTGTGAGTCTCCCCTTAACACTGGCTCCTCTATGGCTGTAGTGTAGATGTCCTCACAGTAGGGATGTGTCCTTATCCACAACCAGGAAGAAAAATGACATGAATCCAGAGGTATGCTGAAGTTAAGTGGTACCTGTACGATCTCCCAAGCGTCAATATTCTGTATTTAATTATCTCATGTTGATAGCTTGAAATTGGCTGTGATGGGAGTATTTTTACCATAGAAACTGGCAAATGATATAATTCAGGAATTATTTTTCTGTGTCAGAGTTATTTCTTATATTTACCAATGTACTACTTCCTTCTTTTCAGATTCCAAAGAAGGCTCTTGAGATTGATGCATATTGGGTTGGCTTAGGTCACATGACCACCCTTGGGCCAAGGTCTATGGCCAGGGGACCTGAAATTATAAAGTAAATATGTATCATAATTTCCCCAATTTATATAACAAAGGTTTTCACTAAATAGGCAGTCAGATTTCATAGTCCATTATGATATGTGCTCATCATATAGAATGTATTGATGTAGTTTGGGTCATTTTCAATGGGGAATTTGTAAATAAGTGAAGTTTTCATATGGGTAAGGGGGTATTAAATATATGTTTCAATTAGCAACGACATGAATTAAAAGAATTGTTACAGGCTGGGAGCAGTGGCGCACGCCTGAAATCCCAGCGACTTGGGAGGCTAAGCTAGGAGGATCACAAGTTCAAAGCTAGCCTCAGCAAAACTGAGGCACTAAGCAACTCAGTGAGACCCTGTCTCCAAATAAAATACAAAAAACAGGACTGGGGATGTGGTTCAGAGGTTGAGTGTCTCTGAGTGCAATTCCTGGTACCTCCCCACTACCAAAAAAAAAATTGTTACTTTTTGTCAATGAAAATGCAAAAAGTATTCTACATCATTGGTCATTAGTCATCAGAACAATGTAAACTAGACATTATGGTGAGGCACCATTTCACATACCCCAGACTATATCAAAAAGGAAAAACTATATCAAATTCATGCAGAGCAATGAGAAGTCTCTTGCTTTCCTGGTAAGAATGTACACTCACATAACCACTTTGAATAATCAGTTGGCAGTTTCCTATAAAATTAAATACATGCCTAATTTATGATCTAGGAATTTCACTCCTAGACAATAACCCAGGAGAAATATGTTGATATCAAGAATAATTAATAATTAAGAAATGGATAAAGGATCTGAATAGACATTTCTTCAGTGAAGATACACAAATGGACAATAAGCACATGAAAAGATGCTTGGTATCATTAGCACAGAAAAATGCAAATAAAAGCCATCATCAGCTACTACTTCATGCCCATTAGGATGGCGATAATAAAAGTCAACATTAATAAGTGTTGGCAAGAATGGGGATAAAATGGAATCCTTGTGCATTGTGGGTGTGGTTATAAAAATGCTTTAGCCACTCAGGAAAACAGAATGGCAGGACCTCAAAATATTAAACATGGAGTTTTCCTCTGATCCAGGAATTCTTCTCCTAGTTATATACTGAGGAGAATTGAAGACTTATTGGTGCTCATCAAATGATAAATAAATTTTTAAACTGTGGCATAGCCATACGAGGAAATATTATTCAGCTGTGAAAAGGAATGAAGTTCTGATATATGCTATACCATGGATGAACCTCAGAAACATTATGTTAAGTAAAAGAACTAATCTCCAAAGGTCACATTATATGATTCTGTTTATGTGAAATGTCCAGAATAGACAAATCTAGAGACATAGAAAGTAGATTAATAGTTGCCCAGAGAAAGTGGAGAAGATGGGTGAGGACTGCCAGTGGTACAGGTTTGCAAATGAATGGTGACAATGTGGAACTGGGAAGATGGTCAAATACCCAAAGTGCTGTGGGAGTGAGAATTGGTGACACCTTTTCAAAGGACCAACTGATAAACCTGGAGAAGAATCTTACCTTAGTCCCATTAAGTCAAGCTCCAAGCATTTAGTGTAATGAAACAATAAGAAGCTTCCTCAAATATTTTTGTATAAGAATGTTTGTATTGACAATAATTTCAGTCATGAAAATGGGGAGAAGATAGGATTTATCAACAATAGGGTGAATGTAGAATGGCACATCTACATGTTGGAATTTGATGTGTGCATTAATAAAATGTTTTCCAGGACTACCTAATCATAGAGAGTATGTGATGCTATGTTATTTTTGTTAATAAAAACTAGGTTACGAAAGATTGTGCTCTGTAAGATTCCAACTAATGTTTTAATAGTATATAATCACCTGTAAAAAGGAGTATAGTAGTAGGACACATCTTCTTAATTTCTTGTGTGTGCTATTTAAGATTTTCTTAGAAAAGTCTAGAGAATATGTTTGTTTTATGATTTGTTTTTTTGAAAACAAGACAATGATAAGTGTTCTTACAATCATGAAAGCCTTAAGCTAATATGGTTGCTTTGAATGTTGAAGGTGGCTGTTCAATAAATATTAAGAAATTTCTAACCATCTCTCTGTGGTGTGGGAGTCTCTTATCTCCACACAAGCTTTGGGCCAAGTTCTCCTCAGTAGCGCTATAGACATTTGGGGCAGGTAGTTTTTGTTGTAGCAAGAAGACTGGGTGTAGAATGGTCCCGTGCTTTGCAGCATATCTAGCAACGTCCCTGTCTTCTACCCCACCCTCTAGTGTGGCAGCAAAAATATCTTTAGTTATAACAAGTATCCCCTGGGAGACAGAAGTGTCCCCAGCTTCTAATCACAGAATTGAAGGAGCCATTTCATAACGGAAGAAAATCCAGAATTGTTTCAGGGAATTCATCCATTGCACAGTTCTGTCTGGTTGTGCCTGCCTCTCCGTTTTGTATACAGGGTAAATATCATTTCCTCAGGAAACAAAGTTCAACATTGACATACCAAAATATCTCTTGGTTCTCATGTTAATTTCCTAACAGTTGCATGAATTATCACAGTATTCTTTTTTTTTTCTAGGGGGTGAGTGCCAGGGATTGAATTCAGGAGCACTCCACCACTGAGCCACATCCCCAGCCCTATTTTATATTTTATTTAGAGACAGGGTCTCACTGATGTGCTTAGTGCCTCATCATTGCTGAGGCTGATTTTGAACTTGTGATCCTCCTGCCTCAGCCTGCCAAACTGCTAGGATTATAGACATGCAGCACACGCCCAGCAAGGTTTCATTTTGATGTTTACAGCATTGATTGTGTGGTTTCTGCTCTTCTTTTTTTTTCAAGTCCTTGCTTATTTATTGTAAATCTTGTTTTTATAAATTTAACATAAACCACTATTCAAGGTAACACCTGGAAATAGATATTTTATTCATTGTTTAGTATATGTTCTTAATAAAAATTCTAAGGAGTAGAATTACTAGACCAAATTATTTCATTTTAATGATTTTTTTTTTAAGACAGGGATCTCACTATATTGCCCTGGCAGGCCTCCAACTCCTGGAATTTTTTTTTTAATTTGTTCTAATTAGTTAAACATGACATTAAAATGCATTTGGATACATTATACACAAAAGGAGCACATCTTCTCATTGCTCTGGCTGTACATGTTGCAGAGTCATGTTGGTTGTGAGTCGTGTCATCATACATGTACATTCTGATCTTCATGCTGGTTGTTCCTTGCTCTGCACAGCTCGCTCAGCCATCACCGGGAGCTGTGAGAATGATGGCCTGCACATTGTCAGAGGTCGAAGTCTCTCCTCCACATCTGTTGCCACCGTGTGTGGTGATGAGACCTTGGATCCTATCACCCTGACTGGTCCCATGCTGCTGAACTTCTACTCCAACGCACACACCCCGGACCTGGGATTCAAGCTTTCCTACAGGAAACTCTGTGAGTAACCACAGTGATGTAGTTTGAAATTTTCTGCTTTTCTTGAGTAATTTACACAAGGAGTTTTCATTGTAATTCACACATCACCAACTCGAAGATTCAGAGACATGAAGGGAAAAACTCACAAATGAGGCATGTGGGAGAAAGTACTTAGACTTCTTTTCTTAAAAAAAGAGACTTTTGTGAACTTTGGCTAGACCTACTCTTTGAAAATCAGATGCATAATTGGAATCTACTTTGTAATGTAAGTTAAAATGAATGTTCTTGCTATTTTTTTTTGTATATTACATAAAGATGCCTCTTGGCCTGAATTATCCTGAATTATTCAGACGCCTAATTTATTCCTCAAGTCGCTTTGTTACAATGAAAAATAATATAAATCTAGAGGAAATAGAAGAGAATATCTTTATGATCTTCTGATAGGAAGAAAAGAATATTTAAACAATATACAAAATGCACAAGCCCTATGGGACAAGCTTGATATATTCAACTCTGTTAAAATTTACAATTTGTCTGTAACAAAGGCAAAGCGAAAAAAGGACACAGACTGGGTAATGAATGCCTTTGTAGCTACCAAGAAAATGATAGTATTTTTCTGTTTCAAATGGTCTTTTCCCCTTCTTCTGGGCGAGTCTACTGACTCCATTTTTCTCATAGCACCTCTATTTCAGTGAAATGGGCACATAAAACTCATAAAACCTTTCCTGGCTTTGTTCTGTCTTTGCCTGATCCAATCTATTGCTAAAGGTAGAAAGTTCAATATTGCTTCCCTTCAAATCAATTTCTGTCCCATCCACAGAGAAGACTAAACATGTCTAATTACCATGAAAAGGGCCTGCATTTTTCTTTGACACTAGTTTCTATCTGAATCCTGAGCCCCAACATTTGTAAAGTAGATTCTGCATGGCTTTGGAGGTCTGTTGGCACCCACCAAACAGAACTGGGCAGTTAATATTTCTTCCCTTACTGTCTTGGTGCATAAAGAGAAGGATTCTTTTGGTACAACCTCTGCTTTGGAGAGTTAAACCTCTTGCTTCATATTCTTCCACTCTTTAATCCCTCATTTTTCATGAAGCATGGTAGGCACGTTTCAATATATCTAGTCTAGAAGGCTCACTCTGAGAGCGTTGCTGATGCTGACTTCAAATCTCAACAGTGTATGAAAATGGAAGGGATTTAAGTTTTGGTAAACTTTCCAAGACCACATAACCAAATGAAATAGAGGAATTGCTACCCAGATCTGACATTTAATTCTCTGCAGATGTACCCAGAGGTCCGAGCACCAGAATACTTTGAGGTATACAGAGAAGAGCTTTCCCTGAAAGTGGGCTCGGTCAAGGCAAAACAATAAATATATAAAAACTTCAAATGCCAGCCCGAGTTTGTTTCTCATTTCTAAGAGAAATAGGTGGAGCACGCCCATTGATAGTGTATGCTCCATGGAAACATCATCAAAATGCACTAATCTCATGATTATTTTGAATCATGAAGTAAATAACCAAAGCCTTTCTCACTGTGATGAGAGGGTAGCATTTGCCATCATTAGCTGGCACTGTCTGATCCCTCTTATGTGAAAGCCAAAGCAAAAATAATGTGTTTTTAAAGAAGTTTTGTTATATTCCTAGGGCTGCTGTTTTATTGTTTTGTGGGTGTAACTAAGGGATTTGGGCTATGAATTGCTGGGGTCAGAGTGAGGAACAGCCCTTCCTTCCTCATGCTTATTAAGGATAAACAATATGAATTTGAGCAAGCAGAGTCTTTACCAATCTCACACCTAAATACAAATAAAGAAGACTTGAGAGCTACACAGTTGACCTAGAGGAAAATAAACAGGAGAGTTCCAAAACTGGTTTCTAGTACTTTACCTTATAATATCCATAACAGGAAGACTTGTATCTGTATCATTTAAGATTTCTAGATTGCAGTCCTTCCCAGATCTCGATGGCCGGAGCTTGTCTTGGGTTCTACCTGCCTTTCCTAAACTTCCAGTTATCACTGTCTCTTCCCTCTGTCAGTCTGTCCGTTAAACAGAGGAAAGGGACAGTTATGCCCCAACACGTGAAATGTTATTTCTCTGACCGTTAATTTGACTGAGACTTACACCTTTCCAAAATGTGCCTTAAAATATTCTTCCCTGTCTTTCCTTCCTGTCTCCTGTTTTTCTTTCCAGTGGGGAAAAAAATATCAGAATCATTTGTAACCACAATGAAGGGGTATTAATCTATCTTAAGAAAAATGAGTATGAGCTCTCCTATGGAAAAATGTGCCATCATATAGAAAAACTTAAAATTATTTTTCCATGCTTAAGTAGTACGTGTGTTCTCTACGTGTTTCTTGCCTTCTGTTGCAGCCTGTGGAGGAACGTTCAACTCTACCGGGGTCATCAGGAGTCCTTTCTACTTGTATTCCGACTACCCCAACAATCTCTACTGTGTGTACAACATCACTGTGAGAAACAACAGAGTGGTTCTGCTCAAGTACGTGGAATGGATTTTTGTTTATTTTGCTTTTGGTATTGAGGATTGAACCCAGGGGTGCTTAAACACTGAGCCACATCCCCAGCCCATTTTTGTATTTTATTTAGAGACAGAGTCTCGCTGAGTTGCTTAGGGACTCACTAAATTGCCCAGGCTGGCTTTGAACTGGAAGTCCTCCTGGCTCAGTCATCTGAGCTGTTGGGATTACAGGTGTGTGCCACCTTCCTGACCAGATTTGCTTCTTTTTTAAGAAAATACTTTTTGCTTTATTCACACATACAAAACAAACAAACAAACACACACTCACACACACACACACACACACACACACACACACAAAACCACCACCCTATTCCTTTACTGATAGCACTGATTGACCACAGTGGTCCATAAGGAAATCAAGAAGAAGGAAGAGTGAGGTTCCCATATGATAGCAAAACAGTTGACATCTGTTGGGAATTTGTGATACATGACAAACTTTATTAACACTTTCCTTTATTGTCTTATTTTATTCTTAAAACAGTCAGAAGGTAGATGTATCTCACATTTCTCTCACAGTGAGAAAACAGAGGCTCAGAAGGATCACATAATTTTCCCAAAGTATTGAAGAGTCACCTTCTGAGTCCATGTCCTGTTTTCCCCGCAAGATCATATCCTTAATGTTTCCCTCTGCTGTCTCTCAAAGATCAATTTTCTAACTGCTAAGAAATTTTTTGTTATTTATGACTCAAAATACCTCCAAACTTGCACTGTAAGAGATGCATATGTGATTCGTCAATTATTCCTCTGATGAGAGCAGGCCATGAAGCCCACTGTTCTCCAGAAGGATGAGGTTCAAGACTGCTTCCACCACATATAGTATATTTCTAGCACTTGTGGTTTACAGTCCCTGGTAGGAAACTCGAAAGTTGGTCTTTTACAGGATTTTCCACCTAAAAGCCTGACAGGCTGGGATGACACCTGCCTGCCTCCTCCCTATTTGTCTGTGATCGCTTTCTGCCCTAGGAAGTGTGGGTGGAGACCTTGGACAGTAAGGCAGGTCTCACCAAGCTCACTGTGGCTTCTGTATGAGTCAGTAAGTGCTCTACAGACTTAACCTTGAAGAAAAGGGCAGATCACACCTGGTACTATTTATAAGGAACTTGTGCCTCAGGGGCCCAAAGTCTTTAAGTCTTAGGGATAAAAAAAAAAAAATACAAAACCAAACACAGGGCCAGAAGCCAGGATTCCTGAGTAGAGGTTACATGCCCAGGAGCAAAAGCACAAAGGATAGCTCTTCCCACTGCCGCTGTTTCTTACACGTGCAAGATTATTGTCTTCATCAGTTCAGGCTGCTATCCCCAAACACCATAAACTGAGTGCTTAAAACAACACAAATTTTTATACTTTTGGAGACTGGGAAATCCAAGATCAAGGCAGTTTCAGCATTGGGTGAGGGTCACTTTTTGCCTATTAGAAGATTCCTTCTTTTGCTGTGTCCTTAGTGGTAGAAGAAGTGAGGGTCTCTCTTGGGCTTCTTTTATAAAGGCACCAAATCCCTTTCTTGAAGGCACTGCTCCATGACCTAACCACCTCCCAAATCTCCACTTCCTAATACCATTACTCTGGGGATGAGGATTTCAACATAGGAATTTGAGGGATATAAACCTTCAGACATTGGTTGATAGATATATCAACTCATTAGATATGACACCTATGATATACATATAAATGTACATATATATATATTTTTTTCTAGCTGGATCCTGGGGTTCACTGTAGTCATAGTTCACATCTGCATTTTTGGAAATATATTTATTTATTATTTAAAAAACCTACATTCTGTGAAAGATTTTATTCTGAGTGCCATGAGGATAGACACATTAGTGAAACATAAATACACCTACCTTGGCTCTAAAAAGATGCTGGCCACATAAGATTTCTTATCAATTGGTTTTTCCTGATATCCTCTGAGAAAGTGATACAAAATAAAAGCCAAAATAGATTTGAGATCACTTGGAAACTCAGAATTTATCTTTCTTTGTGGATTCTTATTTTGGAAAATAATTGTGTTGTCTATAGAGAATAAAAACAAGTCTAGGGTGGTTGGAAATGGTCTTTCCATTGTTCTGCCTGGTCTTTTTTTGACAAAAACATTAAATATCATATGAAGCAGAAGAAAATCAAGAATTTTTTCATCCTAATCTTTTATCTTCAGTCTGAAACCATTCAACCAACCAACATGTTTTAGGAAAATAAAAAAAAAAAAAACATTGATTTTTTTTTTTTACTTAAGGTTCTTAAAAGGAAGTACTTATTCATTAGGTATTTTTAAAAATTATTCCATATTATGGTGTTATTTATTAATGCTGCTAGCAAATAATAATAATAATAATGATGATGATGGGAAGGCAGAACAACCTACAGAAACAAGGACAGGATACCAAATAATTTAAACAAATTTTAAAAACTAAGCCATCATAATCCTACCACAAAATCCTGAAGTAATTCCAGTTGGAAGCCTTGCTTGTTTGGAACTCTGAAAATAGTTACTCAAAATGATTAAGCAAAGGCCTAGGTTAAAGCATTGTGAAGGCCTTAAGGAAATGTTAGGACTACATACATAAGGAGAGGTTAGAAGAAGTAACAAACGGGCTGGGGCTGTAGCTCAGTTGATAGAGTGCTTGCCTTGCATGCACAAAGCCCTGGGTTCAATCCCCAGCACCATTAAATAAATAAATAAATAACAACCCCAAGGCATACCAGGGAAGCCATCTCGACTCATTAGGTTTATTTCTCCTTTGTACAAGTGTGGCCAGCATGGCCTAGCAAGGAGGCTCTGCTTACCATGGAAGATTTCATTTCTACATCTGCTTCCATGATCATCACTGGGAAGGCAATGTATCAAAACTAGTAATAGTGTTAAAAAGTTCTTCCCTAAGGTAATAGGTATTACTCATGTTTACATTTCCATGGTCAAAGCAAGCCCTCTAGACACAGCAGACCTCGGTGTGTATGTCTAAGGGCAGCTGTACCAGGTGTCAGGAAGGCAGAGCAGGACTATCTGGGCAAGTTCCAGTGACAACCACCATGATTCTAAATATGAAATCATAATTAGGGCAATTAAATGAGACCCCCCCCAAATTTAGTTTATTCTTTTCTACCATAAATTTTATATTTTTATGTCTTTTATGAGAAACAATTATTTCGTATCTGCTTTTTTGAAATCATCATCATAATTTCATTTTATTGAGCATCTACTGTCTATCAGATGCTATAGATTGTTTTTTACATATTGTTGTATTTAACTTTACTGTAAACTCCATTTTAAAAGGAGGAAACAAAGACTGAGAACAAGAATGAAGCTGATTCTAAAACCTACATTTCTTCGATTCTAGAATGTTCACATACTTTCAAGAAGTAAAGAATAGGAAAATAGTACCACTTTATTTTAAAAACTACCCAGAGAAGAGTAAATCCCATGCTCCTAGTGAGACTAAAAACACTTCCAACTGGAGTGATAAATATTATTGGTTCAACTTATTAAAACATGATCTCATATGGATTTAAATATGTCCTAGGCTATCAACTCTTTGAATGTAACACTGTATCTTACTCATCTTTTAAGTTCCCAGCTCCTATCATAGTTTTTGGCATATCCTAGTTACTCAAAAAAATCTGGTTAAACTTTTTGAAGTAGTGTTTTATTTATAAAATTTCCTACCAAGTGAAGCCCAGGCATTGTGCTATTAGTTTTTGGTGTGTGTGTGTGTGTGTGTGTGTGTGTGTGTGTGTGTGTGTGTGTGAGAAGGACTAAAGATACAATTTAATGGGCATCTGACAGAGAACATGAGCATTAACAAGGTTTGTTGCACAGGTTTGGAGATTTTAACGTGGCTCTGTCCGCCTTCTGCTCTCACGACTACCTGGCGGTGTATGATGGTCCCAACATGAGCGATCCCCTTCTTGGAAAATTCTGCGGTTCCAAGCTCCCCCCAATTGTTAAGAGCAGCAATAACAGCATGGTCCTGGTATTTAAGACAGATTCTGTTCAAACAGCAAGAGGCTGGAGGGCAGTTTTCCAGGCGACATTAGGTAAGGATTTTGGAAGTGTTAATCTTTTTCATGACTCCTACTGTTCTACTTTAATTATTATTTTTTTCCTTTATAACTGCATTTAAGAGTAGAGGACTATCTTGCATACATCTTGGTTTTAAAAATTATGTATGAAGTCTTTGGGTTAAAAAAATTCCAACATAAAAAAGAAAGAAAAAATATAAAAAAAGAACAAAAATAAAAACAACAACAACAAAAAAATCATTAAACCCATTTACCTCTCCCACAGGCAAAGGCAGATCTGCCTACCTAACCAACCTCCAAAGAGACCCAAACTTCATCTTATCAACTTCAGAAAGAGTGAAAGTTGAACTTAAAGATAGGCAAGAGCCAGGCCAAGAAGGAGGTCCCCAGGGACCACACCAACTTTACCCCTAAAATGGGGAAGAGTCTTGGAGGATTTTAAGTGTTCACCTCATAGCCAGACCTGATTATCCAAACAAAACAAAACAAAAAAAGGCTTGAAGGCCCTACAACCTGAGAAGGAAGAAGCTTCTCACAGAAATTCTAATGGAAAATAGCTGAGACTTAAACCAACTCTCGTGGAACTAGAGGCAGAGGACAGGGTGAAACTCTTAAGAGATTCTGAGAAGGGAGACCACAGCAGAAGTACAGCATTTGGAACCTGGTGATATGTTACATCAGGATGTGGGAGTTGGAGTCAGATCTTACGGGTGATTTATACACTGTTGGTAATTTTAACTAAGTTTAGGGGGCTATGTCATTTATTTTGGTGCATTTGGGATTGAGGGCCTGTCAGATATCTAAATGCAGGGATCAAGGACCAAGTTGATGCTTGAGAAGCAATTTGGATTTCAGAGAGTGGCCTTGAAAATATCAGGAGGTGGCAGGTAAAGCTAGGTAAAGGTAAATTGAAAATAACACCCCAGTTTATTGTCACTGCAGGTGAGACAATTATCTATATAAATTTGGCCTAGAAGTTCAAATCATTTAAAATCAAAGGTAATCAGTTCTCTGTTTATTTATACTAATTACACCTAGGCATAATTTCTGTGTGACTCTGGAAAGTGTTTTGACTCTTCCACTTGATTATTAATATGATTAGTGTTCTGGAACTAAAGAGCTCCCTGGATTTCCCCGTGCTTTTTTGTATAATAATAATCCTGACTCACTTTTCCAAATATCTCTCTCTCTCTCTCTCTCTCTCTCTCTCTCTACTGGGAATTGAACCTAGGGACACTTAACCACTAAGCCACATCCCCAGTCCTTTTTATGTTTTATTTTGAGACAAGGTCTCAAAATAAGTTGCTTAGAGCCTTGCTAAATTGCTGAGGCTGATTTTGAACTTTCGATCCTCCTGCCTCAGCCTCCCAAGCCACTGGGATTGTAGGCACATGCCACAGCGCCCAGCGCAACTCTTTCTCTTTACCCCAAGATGTGAGTAACCTTCACCTCTCTGATACAAAAACAGATTACCTAAAACTTCTTTACATTTGAACAGTTCATTTGTTTTGTGCTTCCTAAAGGAAGGAGTTAGACATTTGTGTTTGAAAAGCATCCCCCTAAAACTGCAGATGACTTTGTATCAGAGAAAATCACTTTGCTGCCTAGCCTCCCTAACTGTGTCGGCAGTAACCAGAGAGCAAGTCTCAGGGACAGAAGAAGAGTGTTGTCTTCATTGAGTGGTGTAAGAGAAGTGATTAATTTCTTTTGGAGTTATCTGGTGCTGAAGAGCTCACATATTCTTGCCTTGAGCCCAGTCTTTAAAACCGAATGGCGGTGCACGTTTGCATTTGCTGTGCATCCTGCTTTCAAGTTGTTTCTTTTTTCCCTCATCTGTGCTCACATGGCCATTGAAATACCCACCTGGAAGCTCTGCACACTGCTGTCACAGGCACGAAGCCCCCCACGTTAGCCAGGGCTCTCAGGCCTCATTAAATGACCATGTCTTTCTGAGCTACAAAGAAGACTTTCTAAACTGAATGATTTTACTGAACTGAAGTAACACAGAAGCAAAAAAAAAAAAAAAAAAAAAAAAAGTACACTGTCAGGGACATTGTTCCTGCATGAGTCACAGAACACTTTGAGTAAATTACTGTTTGCCTCTGATCTCAGAGAAAAGGTTGAAGTGGAGAGAGAGCAGAAAGGGGATTTCATTACTTGCTAGCACTGTGCTGCCATTGTATTTCATGAGAACTTTTACCTCTCTGTCATCTGTGTGAATGCCATCGGCTGCTAGGAGATATTTAAGAAATGATTTTAGCTAATCTTTAAAGATAAATTTTTAACCTAAGTATTATAACTTCGTATTAAGTCCTACAAAGCCTCAAAATCCACATAAGAGGTTTATTATTTTAAAGAACTTTTCATTCTTGTTGGTTATATGAAGAAATGGGAATCAGCAACAAAAACAGCTTTAATTCTAGGGTTTATATAATCTTTTAGTTACAGATATGGATTTCAGAAAAGTTAGACGTGGCTAATAGGGTATTAGCCCTCCTCCTTGAACTCATCCGTTTAAAACCACCCGGGCTTTCTTGTAAGGAAAGGGAAAGCAACTTTGTGAACGAGACAGTGCATTTTCCCAAGGCTCTCAGTTCACCTAGGAAGGAACATCCTCAGTGCATAAATAATGGATGTGGAGAGGAGACCATTGGAGTCTGTAACATTTCCCTTTAGCTATATCTTGACTAAAGCCCTAAGTGGAGACTCATAGCTTGGCTGTTTAGATTATATACTTGGCAATAATTTATGTACATCTGCCTTAATTTTCCAGAAGTCAGAAAAGAGCCCAGGTTATATAATTATGTGATTATTGCACAAAGTTCTCCTTGACGTTTGTTATATTTGTGTAGTAATGGGTCAGAGTGAATTGGTGGAAATAGCCCCTCATTGCTAATTGCTACATGTGTGTTGATTAAAATGCCTTGGAATTTCTGTTAGAATGGAATTTTTGTTAGAGCCTTTGTGTGGGATATGAAGTAAGGAGAAAGCAAAGCAAGGAAGGCTGAGGAGCTAACATCTATCTGTAATACAAATTCGCCTTCCCAAATTTCCTGTGCATTTCAACACTACATGGATGATTGATCCTGAATGACTGATAACCAGAAAAAATGATCATACTGGGCTTCAAGGATCTGTGAAACTTGAAATGACCTATAATTTGAGCATTTTTCTGGACCACGTGCATAGCTTTCATCAACTGTTCAGACTCTGGTTTCACAAAGTTTAAAAAGCCATTGGTTCTTTGGGTTTGGCTGAAGTGGGTGGGCTGTGCAGGGCAGAACTGACACTTACAAACACCCTTTAATCTAGCAACCTCTGCTAGATTAGCTTCAGCTTCTCCTTTACCATCAAAGTTTGCTTCAGCCATGACTCTGCTCTGTGTGTCACAGACAAAGCACTTGGCACTTGTGGGATATGATCGATCACGATCACGTCCATTCTTTCTTACTGGGCTGCTCTCATAACCAAAGCGTTGCTCAGCGGGTCTTTTCATGGCACACTAGGCACATTATACACTGACCTTCTAGATATGATATGAGACTGGGGATTTTAAACTCATGTGTTTACTGGGTAGCACCATTGTCGTTTCTTTCTTTCTTTTCTTTTTTTTTTTTTCTGAAACAGTACATTCTGTACCACTTCAGTGGAACTTCAGAACTCACCTAGGAATTTAGCACAAGTAGGCTCTGAGTCATTTAAGTCAGTGAATTGCCCAGGAGAGTAAGGAGCGCCCCCTGCAGGATAACACATCATAGAAGGACAAGGCCCTGTCCCTGAAGAAGACAGCAATATAGGGACAAGAGACATCAGTGGTTGGGAACAGGACACAGGGCTCATAGTTCCCTCAGCCACAGCCCAACTGTGTCCTTTTACCATGTTTGAAAGATTTTTCCTGAATGTTAAGGTAACAAGTAAGGCCACTGTCTTGCTTCACCAGGGGCATTTGTCATATGAAGAATGAATCAGGTGGCATGAGGGTCAGACTCTGAACCTTTGCTATGATAAAGAAAAAAATATCAAAACACATGTCTAACAAGGACACACTGACTCATTGTCCAAAAAAAATAGAAATATAGCCTGATGGGAAGAGCTATAGATCAGGCCATGATCCAGTTGATGCGTTATGATACCCCTGGTGAGATGACATTAGGAAAGTCCTACAACATTTCTGAGCTCAATTTTTATCCACTAAAAAAGTCAATCTGAAATATTACCTGTTTCTATTTTTTTTTTTTGAGATAGAAAGCTAATTCCTGTAAAGCGCCTTAGCTGTCAAAAAGGAAGATAACATATTAGAAAGTAATGGTCCTAAATATCTGTAAGACTCCAACCTGCTCCCACCCCACCCACCCCGGCTAGAGAGTGGCTGAAGGGTGGCAATGGAAGGAGTCAACATACTCAACAGCAGCTCTTCAAACTGAGTGATTTTTTTATTCCTTCATACCCACCTTGCACTGACATCTAATTATAAAGTCCTCAAGTACGTTTTACAACTTGAATCTGAAATCAAAAGCTAAATTCTAATTAAATCCTAAGACCTTGCAGAGGCCTAGCACATAATTTTTACTTCAACAGTACTGACTGTATGAATGAATTAAAGAATAAAAGCACAATTTATGCCCGATCCAAAATTATATTTTATTATGAGACATATAACATGTATTATGTATTATATTAGATTCAACTCATCCTCAAAATTCAATGTGGTTGATATAGTTGAGCTCTTACTCAGGGAGGTAAATGGAATCACTTTGTCCAGTGTTACAAACAGTGGACCCGGCTCAACATTTGGGTCAGGTATGTTTGGTGACCTGATTTTTGAGGTGGGCAGGGGTATTGGGGATTGAACTCAGGGGCACTCAACCACTGAGTCACATCCCCAGCCTTGTTTTGTACTTTATTTAGACACAGAGTCTCACTGAGTTGCTTAGCACCTTGCCTTTGCTGAGGCTGGCTTTGAACTCATGATCCTTGTGCCTCAGCCTCCTGAGCCTCTAGGATTATAGGTGTGC